AACTGAAACTTTCTTCGAAGCGCATCGCTTGGATGAAAAAGAAAACTCTTTCGGTTAAAAAAATACAAGCACATTTTTCGATCAGCAGTGAGTCGACTCTTTACGAGGCAATTTGCGAGAATCGTAAAACGATATCCAGGGCGAGGTTGTTGTCGACGATAAGCAAAAGTAATATTGAAATTTTAATTAAAACGTGTTCAACGGGAGGTGGTGTTTACTTTATAAAATAAATTATTTGAAACAAATATCGGAAAAAGCGTGCTTTTTCCCTTTGGCCAATGGTTTTCGATGGTTTTTGATTGAATTCTCGTTTTTTAATAAATTGTGTGCTACAAAAATATCGCTGGTTTATTTGTAGATACGCGAAACGAGCCACAAAAAAAGAGTCGAAATAAAATCGGCAAAATCGTGTGTATTTTCAGTGTTTCTCGCATTTTAAAACAAAATTTTATGTAACTAAATTTTTCCAGAAATGAACTGCGTAAAGAGACATTTTTAAAAAAAGGGGGAAAAATACGTTCGATTACTACTCGACCGTAGTCTGTATGCGCGTAGTTTCCATTAGTTGCATTCAGGACGAAAAATTCATTTTGTTCGCTTCGACGTGACGGACAAGGTTTTTTTTTTTTTAGACATCGACGGTTCGTACAGCATGATAAAAAAAATTTTTTTTCAAATCAGCCCCATCAATCATCGACAGCACTTGTGGAATTATTATCTTTTTCATCGATCCAAAGAGCTTGAAAAAAAAAAAAAAAAAAAAAAAAGTACGTGAGCATTAAAAATCATCGACCCACGCGCTGGATATAAAAAATACTATATACGTCCCTTGCCTGCACGTGTCAACTGCAGCGAGCACTAAAAATTTTATGCTTTGTAAAATTTTAAAAACACATAGCAGAACAGCCGCGTCATGCTTACTGTATCCCTTTCGTGTCCTTCACGCTGATGCTACGTTGTCCACGATCATCGTGGTGTTTACGACTTGTCGTCGTCGTCATCAACATTTTTATCATCGTGAGCGTTAATTATTTAATTTTTTTAAAAATATTTACAAGGTGCGAATGAGTACAATACGTTGAAACGACGTATAATTCTAGGTACGGTTGAATTGTAAAAAAAAAAAAAAATAATGTAAACAGTTTACCCCAGTAATTAATTATTCTTGAATTTCTCATAGGATAAATAGTAGCATTAAATATTTCTCGAGGACCCAGATCACAGATTCTCTTTTTTATTTTTTTTCCATTCAAATAGCTTGGGTTGATAATAATTGCCGATGAATCGCGTAATGGACGAGAGAAGAAAAATCTTTATTTTCCGATAACGACGATTTGTAGGGCAGTGGGCGCTGACCTTTTTTTTAATGCATATCTTCAGCCAGAATAGATTGGATTTCCATACCTTTTGTTTCTCGATATTTCAATATTTACTGGGCACGAAAATAGAGCCACTCTGTGGCAATGCTGCAGTCATATTATTATTATTTTTTTTTTTTCTAAAGCACAATGAAAAGCAAAAAATGTAAATCATGCAAATACAGTAAAAGCTCGATGGTTGTGAATTGTGAAAAGAGACTAAAAAAAACGTAAAAATATGAATGTAAAGGCGGTAGATTTGTTCTGTATTCACGATGAATCATTCAAAGGGAAAAGTAGGGGGAACAAAAATTTGTTGGTATTTTGCAGTATCGTTCATTGATATATTTCACGGGCATAAGTAACTTTCAATTCGCAGAGTAATCCACGAAACAGCTCGGAAAAGGATGTTGTGGTTACGCTTGACTTTAGCAGGATGAATCGAGTTGGAGTACAATGAAATCCATTCCACTTTCGCTGATTACCCACGAAAGGCTGAACTCGCGAAATTTCTTTCCCAAAAGTATAGACGATAATAACAATTCGTGCTTCAAATGCTTTTGCTGTCTCAATTTGGCTGCACGAGCATTAGTGAGAATAAGTTTGCTTTGGCTTTTGGCACTTTTGTACATTAAAATATTAGCTTTCCATTCAAAGCAACCAAAAAAAAATCAATCGAATAAATAAAAAGTTTAACAAAATACATAACTCTATTCTCAATCAAAAAATAAAAGAAAAGACTCCTTAATTTGCAAATTTTTGGACATTTTTTTATTTTTNAAAAAAAAAAAAAAAAAAAAAAAACTTGTGATTCCAGGTCCACCTGGGCGAGGGTGTGGCCGTGTGCGAGGAGCAGCTGCGCGCGGTCAAGTGGAGCGACTACAGGAAACTGACGCGAGGCCTCGCGGCCATCCTGTTCAGCCCGACGGAGCTGGCGACGTGCTCGGTGACAGGCCAACGCTGGAGCCGCGCGGGCACGGCCACCGAGCGGCCCGTCAAGCCCGCCCTCGACAAGGCCAAAGTTCAAGCCATCATATGTAAGTACACCCTCGCTGCCATTGCCATTATTATCATTAGCGCAACAGTGGGTAAGTAGTGATTATATTTGCAAAATTGTCACGTCCTCTGTATATGGACGCGCTCACAAGCCCGTTAAATTTCTTTTATAGCTTAATGCTCGCTGCTAATGAGGAAAGCTCGCGTTACGAGCTTTTTTTTTTCTTTCTTTCTTTCGTCGAGGTTATCTTTTACGCCTACCGCTATGGATGGAAAGCTACGGCTGATGAGCGTTACTTTTGATGCTGGGTGCACAATCAAAGTTTAATCGACCCTACGCGCTCTTTCAACATTTTCACGTGCTCGTTATGAGTATCTCCATTTTTCCCCCCTTTACTTCTCATCTCACCTTGGTACGAGCGCGATGCTATAAAATTTAAAGCACACGGGTCCATTACATCTCGCACGCAGCGGGTGCCGGCCGGGTGTTATATTTCGCGCGTGTGTTTATGCAGGGTGTTTTTGTTCCAGCGTCGGTGGTATATATTTCCTGGCCTTGCCACGCCCCCCCGTCTTCGTAACTCTTCCCCGGAGCCCCTTTTTCTTCGCGACCCTCGGCACCTAAAGTTTACTTCATTTTTTCATCTCAATTTCCAAGCAACGCGTTTCACGCGAAATCGAGATCTCGAACGGAGTGAAAAAACCATGATTTCTCTTTACCTAACAAAAAAGTCGGACGATTAATGGATCGTGGTGTCTTTTTTTTGCCGTCCCCACGTAGCGAGAAAAAAGTTTTTGCCGCACCTCAGCTGTCTCGCACGGACCCCAGGTGGTGAGAGTACTTTGGATCCACGTAAACTCGTTTTAAAGAAGCGCGTATCCAAGCCACGCGAGTTTTAGAACAGACAATTTTTTATTTCTCCGTAAACGTCGTGAATTACACAAAACAACTTATATCTACTTCCAACGGCAGTGATGTATAGATCATCCGAATGAATGGCCAACGGGTCAAATCGTCCGTTCCCGTCCGCGTACACGTACCCGTGCGGTGAAGTGGACTCTGCATGCTTATTACGCGCTTGCACCAAAAGCGTATATATCCAGAGACGAAAATCGGCGACTCAATGTTCGGCCATTTGCGTTTTCACGTACTGCGAATCAGAAGGGAAAATTAGGCTTTGGGTGGCGAGTGATGGTTGAATGGGCGATTCAGCGACTTTGCCTTTGAAATTGCCAGCTTTTGGTGGACTCGTTTGCAAACGGGTGCTTAGAATTTTTCCTTGTTTGTTTTGTTCCTTTGTTTTCCTTGTTTTTTTTTTTTTTTTTTCTGCAAATCGCGCAACAAAGCCCATCACTATGGTTTGCAATGAAACTCGACGCAATTTATTATCGCTTGCCGAGTTTTATTTCTTTTGTTTATTCGCGAACAAAGCAAAATGCACCGATGATAAAACCAATGGCACAAAGAGGACGGGAGGAAAAAAAAAAAAAAAAAAAACAATGAACATAACTCTATTCTCAATCAAAAAATAAAAGAAAAGACTCCTTAATTTGCAAATTTTTGGACATTTTTTTATTTTTTATTACGTATTAAAAAGGAAAGCACCTACAATATTTAATTTTTTCACACCGATGATTTAAGCTACAAATCAAGCTTGCAGTAAAAATGATGTTTTATCCTCACACCATTATACTAGAAATTGTCAAAAACAACAACACGCTAATATCAATTTTTTTTTTTTTTCTGACACAAGCTTGTAAAATCTTACCTGATTTTTCGTATTGTACGTACAGTCAAAGGCAGGGTGAAAAAAAATAGAACAAAAAGAAGAGAAAAAAAAATTAAAAGCTCATTATTTGCTGTAATAAGTTTAAACACACAAAGAGAAAAAGTTAAAGTAACACCCGAAATTGTCGTCTACGACGTGAAATGTTCGAGTTTCGCCTCTGTCTCTGTAACTGTATAACGCGTTGCAACAATTAACTCCCATTGTAACAACGAGAAAAGTGGCGCGCAATTTTGGGGAAACTAATTTGGCCGCAACTGCAGCCCGTGCGTGCATACACACGATACCTGTTAGTTATGTTAACGTCAGCCGTTGGCAATTGCAGTTCTGTAACTGTTGTTAGCTCAACGTTTCATTGCCACTATCATAAACAAAACAAAAGCACGAATTACCTCCAAAGTGCTGCTCCAGATTTCGAGGAAGACCATCACCCTGTTCATATTTTTTTTCGCGTTGTTGAAAAATCCTCGCCACGCAGTTCCGAAAAAAAAAAAAAAAAAAAAAAAAAAGATGGAGCTCCACGGTCCGACATCAAAAAGCGCTGGAATCAAAGAGAAAGGGGTTGAGGGGGCAAAAAGAGTGAACCGGGCAATATATAAAAGCCAGAGCTCCCGATCCGTCAAGCTCGACGCGATAAATTTTTGTCAAACCCCACGAATATACACCTATATATACATGAATACACCCGATCCCTCGTGTAGCGGCTCCGAGGCCACGTATATAATATATACTGTTGTCTAGCCACACACGCGAGCACAGGTGACCGCAGAGCCTGTGATTACAGCGCGTCCCGGCGTTTAGCCCCCCGGAAACAGACCATGCAAAATAACCATTGTCTCCCCGTAACGATGTGTTGCAGGTGCCAGGAGTAGAGAGGGACGCGCAGCACCGGATAGTACAAGAGCTAACGGGGAGATATGCGTCCCGAGGGCGCGGTCCCAGGTGCTTGGCGACGGGGAGGACGCGGCGCTCGAGACTCGATTTTGCAGAGTCGATTCCCGCGGCTGCGACGCCGGCGGTGAGAAGGTGACGCCGGAGCGACCGAGCACACCGTGGGAACATGGGCGCCAATCAGTCGGCCAGGAGTTTGCCCACCCCAGATGAGGAAGGTAAGAACGGGGACAAAATCGAATATTCGGTTGATACACGTATACCTATACGTACTACATATATGTTACCGTGTCCTTGATGATCAGTACGTGGTATTGGGAATAGAGTGCACTCTGTACTAGAGTGGGAAAACGGGCGATCGAAGCTCATAATTATAACATGGTAACTACAGGGATTACTATGATGTTGATCGACCACAGTGCGCTTGTAAACGCGACAAAAGTCGAATGAAGTCGAACCACCTTATCTTGTTTTAAAGAAACCTTGGGATCATATAAATGCACTCCTAATGAATCTTGTGGTAATTTACTTGAATTCACTTGTCTCGTGACTTTCTGGGTTTTCTCAGTTTTTACAAAATGTAGTTTTTAGATGAAAAGTGCCATGCATTGGCGAGTAAAGAATTTTTTTTTCAGTAAAAAAAGCTGCATATTGTATATTGTATTGATGAAAAAAAAAAAAAAAAAAAAAAAAAAGTTTAAAATTTCATAAAATAATTGCGACCAGTTGGATCTCGTAGTTGAGATCAACGCTCACTGGTTTCATTCGTATTTCGTTAACACAAGATTTCTGTACGAAATACAACGAGTCGGTATGTCATACAGTTTGCAAAAGTTTGTATCACACCGATGCAGAGGACAGCTGTGGCACACGGTGATAATATACAGGGGAAGGGAAGACAAATGGAACTTTTCAATGAGCCCCGACAACGAGCGCCGCCGTGATATTTACCCAGTCCTCGTGTCCATATGGACTCCCGAGGCAAAGTGTACTTTACAACGCGTGCACGTATGCTCGAGGGTGGCACACGGGGCAGAAAAGCTGCGCTATAAATTCCGTGAGTCGGCGTTTACACGCACAGGGCAGGAAACACCGAAGGGTCGTGTTTTACGAGACCCTGTTTATGATTTACGAGCTTTCGAGACTCGCGTTGTATAATTTTCAGCGCGTCAAGTTCGATCGCCCCGAGCCGGTCCTTGTTTTTTTTTTTTTTTTTTTTCGTCAGTTGGTCCATATTTTACATATGTATGAGCTACACACGAGTGACGAGACAAACAGCGAGAGCTCGCCGTAGAATATAACTTTGCGCGTGGAGTATAGATCAAAGCCAGGCGGAGATGACATAGGGGGTGCCTCTCTTGCGGCGCGGCAGTGTCGTGTGTAAGGGTGTGTACTTACGCGTATTATCGACAAGCTGTCTGTCTACGAGCTTCGGGGCAATACCAAGTACACATCTCGTTGTTATTCCACGATGATTGTGTTTTCGTTTCGTATATAGCTGTTGTAACTCGGTATAATGAAGGAAAAATCAATCGGTGTACAATATACATGTACAACCCTTCTTTCGCGTATCGAGGGAAATAGGGAGCAGCATCTCGAACAAGTACATAATATAGAGGATGTCGCGAAATTACAGCGAATAAATAGCGACTGCGCTATAAGTGCAACAACACCCTCGTCCCTCGAGATCTTCTTTCGCGCGTGGAATAAGTAATCATACATATAACAATACGTATACCTACACGCGCGTCATCGCTTGGCGTCGCTCCCCTAGCAATCAGGCGTCTTAAATGCATAGAATTTTTTTCCCTTCTTTGTTTTTTTTTTTTACTTTTTCGTTCCCGCGTATACAAATGTTTCAGCTGACGTTTTTTTCATCTTCACCGCTGCGAGCGCGTACACTTGCGAAATCCTTGAATCCCCTTTTTTATGTATTTCACAATATTGTGCACAAAAACAATATACCTCCCTGGGTATGTATTAGTCCTTCCATCTATCTTACGGTACAATATATATGAACCAGGTCGTGATAATCCAGGTGAGAGTTTATAAAACAGCCAGCTTTCCGCCACCTCTGCCGCCGTGTAAAAATATACGCCACGCTCACTTAGCCGCGTCTCGGGGCACTTTATCCGACCATCCAGTGCTCTTTCGCTCGACGCCCCTCGTACTCTCGTATCAGATTCCAACGCTGCGGTGTGCGGGGGCGCATTACGGTGCACAGTGAGTCGAGCTTTCACGCCTTTTTTTTTCAAGAAAAGAGGGGCACACACATCGACGTAAAAGTTATTTTAAAATCAGCATATCACCTTTTCTCTGCAAGCTCCATTTGTCCTCCATTCTTCGGGATTTGTGGATTCACAGAATTCATCGATCTTGCCCTCCTGTGTACTGTACCTACATTACACTTGGCTTTCCCTCCTGAGCTTTTTCAAATTCAAGACTTTTCGCAATAAAAGCCCGCGAGTGCACGAATTTCGATTCGACCATGAGCTTCTCAAAGTAACTTTTTTATTTATTTTTTTTTCCTTCCATAATGGACCATTTAAAGCGAATGCAGGAACGAGCGTCCGTAGTGTCAACGACGCCGCCGAAATGCCTCGAAGCATCCAAAGCTATAGAGAAACAACATAAACAATAGCATCCCCGTACCCGCAGCCTCTATTAGCTCCCTTTGGAGCGGAAAGTGCCTATTCCGGGGGTCTTTCGCCGTGTTGCGGCAAAGTTGAGCTCGCAAACACGGGCCAATTAATCGAATGCGAAGCTCCCTCGTACGCGAAAGACGCGGGGCTTAGCAGTGTACATGTAGTGGGTGAGTCGAAAGCTTAGCCGTACTCAACTCCTAGGGAGGAACAACAGCCACCCGAGGGCAGGAGCCGTGCATCGGGATGTTTGAATAAGGAGTGTACGCTTATAGTGCTCCATGTCTATATGTATGGAAGGGGGGAGATCATTACGGCTCCTCGGAGTCACTGAGGGGGTCGCTTTAAATTCTTTTGATTTGCATTTCTATCGAGCCGAGGACTGATTCGATTCGACCTTCCGGAATGTGCTTAGTTGCTTAAGCGGTTCGACTGAATTTGGTATTTGATCGAGGTTCACTGCACCGGGAGGAAAATAATTAATACGTAACAATTAATGCACTATATAATGGTTGTTATGTCGTGTCGTCTTCCATAGGGACTTTTTACCATTTGGTTGCTAGACTGGCATTTCTATAGTGTCATTGGAATTACAATTACACAACATTGTAAGGTCTCGGTTGTTTTTTTTCTTTTTTTTTTTTCAATATTACCGAATTCAATTTACAAATTTTTAAATTCGAAAATTTATCCCTCCTTGTTAAATTTAAAGTAATTCTAACAAAATATACTTGGAATAAAAGAGAGAACCGACCGAACTCAGGCAAGTTGGAAAAGGAGAAAAAAAGTGGTAAGCTCTTTCAAGAATCGCGTTGCCAATTAGATAAAAAAAAAAAAAAAAAAAAAAAAAATCCTAATCGAACTCCAGAGCGAAGCTAATCTCGCGAACAAAGTGGGAGCCAACGTATTTCAATTTCAAACTTTGACCCTCTCTCTGTGCCAGCGTCTCATCTCCTCTTGGCTTTTTTTCCCCGTCGTTTGGTCTCTGAAATAAAGGAAAAATAATTAAATTGCAAAAAAACGAGCAACAACGGGTGAATCAACGCCCACCTAACTTTCCTCGAAGAGAGAGACTAGGCGTCGCACAAGCGGCCCAAAGTTTCGGCATCGGAAAAACTTTTCCCCACCGCCTCTTCTGTTCGGTTTTATTTCTTATCTTTCTTTTTTGTTCTTTTTTCCTCCAAGTGTATCACCCCAAGGTGATCGAGAGATAAAAGCCATTTGTATTATCACCCGCGTGAACGTGTGCTTGGCGCGACTACCCCGTTTGAATTTTTTTGATAGTGACAATCACATGGATTGCAAATATTTGTTTTGTATATACTACTTATGGTTCAATAGGTCGATTTGGTTACATTTCTCAAACGCCCTCTGTATAAATATTGCGCCGCTATGCAACGCACTCAAATTGACAGCGCGCTCTGGCCTACATTTTTCCTCCCAACACGTGCATAATGTATCCTCGAACACGTGACTCGATTTTTTTTTTTTTTTTTTTTTTGCCGAAAGGGCACTCGTGTGGTCTCAGGTGGATCTCTCTCGGTTGTTACTGTAGGTCCTCTTGTCGGCCGTGTGCTCATTTAAACGGCACGTAAATCAGATGTCGGGGATGCGATGGGGGGGGGGGGGTTGGGTTTTTACAGCCTTTTTTCGTGCACCCGGTGAGTCGGTGATTAAACCTCCGGGAGTTCGATTGACGCGCCGACTCGAGAACAAGTTTGAAAATTAATCACGGCGGGGGATGTACAAAGAAAGAAAAAAAAAATGTTAAGCTGAGAGCGATCGAGCGAGCGAAGGGAATTTTTTCAATATCGTTGCCGGTGTCGTATCATGAGGGTCGTCAATTTATCCGAGTAATTATTCATACTTGTTTTCGGGGAAAACTTTTAATAACTCAGCCGCGCGTTTAATCGCGTTTTTAATATCGCCACTCGGAGATCGCGAATTTCAGCCGTGCTCGATGAGGATCAAGAGAAAGTTTTTTTTTTCCCTCCCCGATTTCACGGTGAAATTGATAACTAAACGGAGCTAACGAAAAAAAAAAAAAAAAAAAAACATGAAATTATAAGCTTTGCACGAAACTGATTATTTTTTAATCACCAGAGCGCAATGAAGCTCACGTCGCCAACAGTTTGAAAACTTTTATGAAACCCCGTACACCCCCGTAACGCGATGGGCTTTCCATCTCACGAAAAAAAAAAATAAATAAACGAAATCCAACCGCGTATAAGCTTCCGTTACTCGTTAAGGGTAGTTTTTTCCGTACGAGTTTATACGAATAAACGAGGCTGGCAAAAACTTTCCATACAATTGTACTTCTTGCATCGCGAAAGAAGAGCTGAATAATCAGCTCCGAGGGACACGCGATAAAACGAGAAAAAAAAGTGGTAGTTGCTCGTTTGCGTTGGTTGGGAAAAACCGACAACAAAATGAGTCCGAGAGGAACACACGTCCCAGGAGAAAAGTGTGGAGCGAAAAGAGGGGGAAAAAAAGAAAAGAATAGTAGGTGGAGCAATTAGTCGGGAGGTTGTCGTCGGGAGAAAACTCTTTGCCGGGGAATTAGCGACATTGAATCGCGTGACAGCCGGCATTCGGGCGCCGGAGCTGATGCTTTTTTCCCAGCTTCTGCTTCCCTGGTAAGTAATGAGTTTTCGACTCTCGAGCGCCAAGTGTAAATAATTGGACTTTGAGAATTACCTCGAGAGAGAGAGAGAGATAGTGAGAGAGTGGAGGTTGTCTCTTGTTTACCATTCCCGGTGAAAATCAATTAAATCTTGTCCTAAGGCGCCTGATGGTGCATATATATACATCTTTGTGTATATAATAAGAGGATGGCACATCAACTGTAAATGGGGAAACTCGAGGAGTGCCATTCGAGAGAGGTATTACCTACTTCGGTAGATGGTGCTGGGTACCTTCTCTGTGCCAATTGTCCCTGACTTTGGAAGATATTTAATTATGCTCGCTTTTGCATGGAAAAGTGAGGACTGAACACATCGAGATGCGATGATAATAATTTCCTGTATCGAATTTTTTCTTTCATTTTATTGTCGAATGGGAACTGCATTCGGAACCAACAAGTAAATTTATATATTAAGCATATTTTGTTGGAGCTTTTTATATAAATCCGTACCTGTACATTTGGGAACAATCATTTTATAGATTTTTAATCGCTTTGAAAGAAATTTTTTTTTTTTTTTGCTGATATTGGATTCTTTGTGCTGAAAAATTTTTTACTCATCACAATTTCCAATACAGTATTGAGGAAAAAAAAAAAAATTCCAACAGATCAGTGCAACAAATTTCAGATGTTAAATTTTATTGTAAAGTACTTGAAATGAAACGTTTGATTACATTGACTCTTTTACCCTTTTAAATTGTTTTTTATTTTGTTAACTTTAATCCATTCTTTTCGCTAAAAAATTGTAAGGAGTACTTTTAAAATAATTTATGCCCAAGTTTTCGTACCTTATTACATATATATTGACCTTTGCAGTCAATGAAGATATCCCTACATAGTTCTACATTGAAAAGTTTGTTTTATTTCAGAGCCCCCGTGAATTTTAGCTCTTTCGTACGTGCACAGTTTACGGCTGGAGCATAAAGAACGTCCCGAGTTAATGAAATTTTAATCCATTTCCCTTCGCCTGCATTCACTCGGAGCACTGTAATATACAGTATAGAAAAAAAAAATGGCCTTCTACGCTGCAGCTTACGCTCCTTTCCCCCTATAAACCGTATACACCACTCTCTCGAGTGTACCACCTTATACAAAGAGTAGGTAAAAAAGAACGAGCCTGATCCCTCGAGATGAATCCCTTTCGTACAAGTACGTGAGCGAATGTACCGGTAGATTAAAGTCGCGCTTTCCCCGGCTCCTCCGAGAATGTGGGAGCAAAAAAGAAAACAAAGTCCTCCGTCCGATGAAATCATATACAATGAATGAACGTCAGCTCCTCTCCCTCCATTCAACGAAGGATGGATGGGAGGGGGTGAAATTATTCGCCCATTAGAGACAGGGAGGCCGAGGGGTGAGGTATGGTAGTGGACTTTGGATGATTTTCTTTTTTCATTTCCCCCACGAATTTCGACGAAACGGATTTTCCCGTAATTTCCTCCCCCCCCCCCCCAGTAAATCTTTTACCCACCACTGGCGGCGCAATTAATCGAAAAGACACACCCACGTGCGTGCCGTGTATTGCAAACAACAGGACACCCCTGAGGCGATCGCTCGAGAGCAGTAGTGATCATATTCGGAAAAACCTGAAAACACGCGCCATCCGATATTACCGAGATCAATCATCTGTGATCACGTGCAACAGCGTAACTCCTGTGAGTTTCCAAAAGGAAAAACTCTCCCGCTCGCACTCCAAGCAACGTGTCTAAGTGCACTTTACTTACTGTATATTATAGCGCGCGAGCAGGTGTGGAATACTTGTGTTTCCTTTATCTCGTTTCACTCGAGGGGCACTGCTCCGTATAACGAATCGAACAAATCCGCTTACGCGTGCAAACACCAGCCAACTCGAATAAGCTGCACAATTGCCTTTGGGTGCAAAGTGCGCTCTTCGCTCCGTTTTCGAGTGTTTAGCGGGGAAAATTTGATTCGCGTCGCTCGGGAGTACAGTGTATGACGCGCCGTGGCACAATTGGTGCACTCTGTTGTGTAATTGTCAGTGGCATATTATGTACTCGGGTACTTTGTTTTGTTGTCCGGGCGAGAGTGAAAAATTTCCCTCTATCTTTGTCTCTCCTTCGAGTTCCAAATAAAAGCTGAAAACTTCGTTCCCGACCCTCACGCATACAAGTGACACTCTCCGAAAGTTGGCCCGTAAACCTCCCCTGCGCTTTTACCTTCGATTTCACGACTATCTCGACTTGCTTCCTCAAGTGGGGGGAGGGATAAACAACTGCAAATCTCGCAATGTTAACAGCCTCGGTAAAAAAAAATAAAAAGCTCTCCGGCCCTTTTTTCCACGTAATAAACCACCCTTTGGCCCGTGCGAAATTTTAAAAGGTGGACACACGCAAACGTGGAAAAGAGTGAAATTTTAATAACTTATACAGGTATATATATGTATTCTTTACAAGGGACGCTCGGATACAAGCTCTTCCCGGCTACTCCTCTCAATAAACCAGGGGGAGGAAGAAAAATATCCAATCCCCCCCCCCAATCCCGCTGAGCAGGAAAGTACTTTGGTGGAGGGGCTTTTCCCTCCCGATTCGTTTTTATAGAGCGCAAATAACGCCGGCGAAAGCCACGAATATACAAACACTACGTATAGTATATGTATTTTTCTTTATCGTTGCGATGAAAGGGCAAAGTGAATCACGCGCGTATATTCGTAGGCACAGCACACAAGTGTATGTATAAACGTATAGATATACGGAACAGGGGGTTGGCTTTTTATTAATCATGCCCGATAAGGGCTAGCAAGAAGGTCAGTACTTACATATATATCTACTCCCCTGGCGCGCGTGTGTGTGTTGTAAGAGCAACAGGAGCTGCAAGCGCGTGTGTATTGTATTTGCTAACGTGCAAACGCACACATCTGCCGGTCTCGGAGCTTGAGGCTAAAACTGCTATAGATATATATATATATATACATGGGAGTGGGACGTTATCGTCCATTAACGGGCTTCCCCGTGGGGCTTAATCTTTAATCACTGCACGTCCATACCTGGTCGACTCTGTGTGTGTATATAATACGTACGAGCCACCGCATTGTTGTATCGATCTGTTGTTGACTTTCTTTTTCTTTTTTGTCTCTGTTGCAGTGAACTTTGACCACTTTCAGATTTTGCGGGCCATCGGCAAGGGCAGCTTTGGCAAGGTAATTGTTGATAAATTGTTCTTTTTTTTTCCATACCTGCTTCACTCGTTGTTGTACTAGCGAGTGGTAAAAGTAAATGTGAAAAAGGGGGTATAAAATGTACAAGCGGTATACAGGACACACCGGAGGGAGGGAGAGGTTTAGGCGCGTCAAGCACGTCGGAGGTTCTCTGAAACGTTGGAGGGATGGAGTGAGAAATCGAGTGTCTTGGATATTTCGCGTGCCTCGGGCGCGTCGCTGGACCTCTTGTAAAGGCAAATCTGGGATATCCCATTGGTTCGCTGTGAATATCCTACGCGAATATGAAAATAGTTGAAATTAGTTCGCAGACGATCGGTTCGCGTTTTGCTCGGTACAGTGGGTTTTGAAGGTAAAAATTGCCGATAAGAAAAATTCGGGGGAAAAAAGAGATGGTCCCGAAAAATTATTGTCGAGGCCAACGGTCCCCTTAAGGTTTCTTTAATGTATCGACGGCTTGGGTGAAGAAAGTTTGAAAATTATTAACCCTGAAAAAATGAAATGTGCTTTCATCTTAAACGGATTATGAGCAGCGGTGCCTCTGAAAAGTTCGTATCCGAAATAGCTCTTTTTCACCCAAAAGCAATCGATATTCATAATTTTTGTTGTTGTTAAAAAATACCGATGAAATAATTAAAAAACGTAAAAAAAATTTTTTTTTTTCTCTAATCACCGAAACACAAACCCATAAATACACTCGTAAAACCACTAGGTTCATTATCCCAGCAACCCTGTAAAGCCGAACAAAGCAAACGCACAAATTATTCGCCGTCAGTACTGCCAGTTCTCCTTTATTTTTTTGCGGCCACCTCCATCAAAAAGTAATTTCGCGGTATCGTTCGCCTCTCCATCCCCCGCCGCGATATCGCATCACAGCTGCTCTGTGTACAGATCGGGCAAAAATTACCATAGCCCCGGGTATCGACGAATCCTCCCTCTTCCTCTTTTCGCCGATATCGAACGATCATCCTGTACACAGCGCGTCTACAAAGCCATATATATATATATACAAAGTCGTTGGTGCTCCATTTGCAGGTGTGCATAGTGCAGAAGAGGGACCGAGTGGGCAACATGTACGCGATGAAGTACGTGCGAAAGGGCGAGTGCGCCGAGAGGGGCGCGCTCAAGAACGTGGCCCGCGAGGTCGAGATACTCTCCAGGCTCGAGCACCCCTGCCTCGTCAACCTCTGGTTCAGCTTTCAAGGTGAGTTTGTTTAACAATAAACCAGCTCTTTCCTGCTGTAACCTGCAGTATACGCGTTTTCCGATGCCTTTGTGGATGAATATATGTGCGGTACACCATTTTGTACCTTTTCTACCACAAATCCATTCCTTACGTTTACTACTTTCTCACGGTCGCTTCGTATCTCGACTGACAATAAAGGCTATACGTGCATTATTGTTAGATAATGCACTTTTGAGATGGAGTGACCCCGTTCGTTGGGTGGCAACAAACGTTTCTTTGTTGTTACTCCGGAGTTTCGAACCACAATCGCAACATTGGCTTTTCCCATAAAAGGCATCGATGCATTGAACATTGTTTGAAAGCCGTATGGATAAAAAGCTATTGTCGATAGTACAGAATATGAGTGATAACATGACGTACAAATTTTCGGGGTATTTTTTTTCATTCGAATCAATATTCATTTAATGTACCCAAAAATAGATGTTATCGCTGTAATATTACAAATGCACAGAGGAGATTGATAAACGGGCCACAAAAATTTCATGGCAAAAAGTTTAGCGTTTGCAGCGAACGAGTTTTAATCGGAGTGGGTTTGGGGGGAGGTCATACATTTTGATGGCATAAATAATTTCGTCGACTCGCGCTGCTGGAGGGAGCAGCTGAAAATTAACAAGTTACCATTGTACAATGAGGATGGGACACGAAAGTTGGTCACGAGTATGAATTTTTTTGACAAAGAACTAGCTGTTAGTTCCAGACCATTGGATAGAATCATATTTAATTATAATCATAATTTTAATTGAGAAAATTGTTGTCACTAGCACGATCGTCGACTCGGTTGCAAAGTTTCGTGTTTTAGTTACAATCGTGCTTATGCTGTACTTTTTTTGTTTATAAAGTACATTCAAACAATTCAGCTACGGTTTGGGTGTGCTCTTTCATAGATATTTTTCTGGTACATTCATTAATTTGCTTTAATTGACATACAATCACAAAAAATCACTATAGCCTCTCTGATTTATTGAGCGTAAATTTACGAGACCTTTTTTAAAATATATATATTTTAGAAATTAAATCGGTATCGAAATAAAATAGTATAAACACGTATTAAAGTTCGTGAATCGCCGATTAAACACAGCTCCTATGGGTTTGATTTGTAGGGGGTTACGAATTTTTCACCCAAAGTCAGATTTATATTTATTTTTATGCGCGTCTGCTCCAAAAAAATGACTGTCGGCCACATTTTTCAGTCTGATTTCTTCTTTAAATCCAAGGATAAACCGACCAAACATTTTTATCGTGTAGATATCATAATATACTTTTCAGACAATGTTTCCATTTGAAATTAATAACATGATTTATTTCCATCATCCACGAGAGTCCCAGTAAAATAATGGTCATTTTAACGTACGATCATCTTCGGAATGAGTTTGCATCACAAATTCATTCAAATTATTCTCATTTTACGAGATGAAATTCGCTGCCCTATATACTCTCATGCGAAACGCGCAACAATTGTTTTCATAGACGAGGAGGATCTGTTCATGGTGTCGGATCTGCTGCTGGGCGGTGATCTACGGTACCACCTGCAACAGGACGTGCAATTCAGCGAGGAGAGCGTCATACTGTACATCGCGGAAATCGCCCTGGCGCTGGATTACCTTAAAAAAAACCGGATCGTCCATCGAGACATCAAACCGGACAACATACTCTTGGACGAGGAGGGTGAGTCAAGGACCAAATGCTTTTTTTTTTTTTTCCACCTCTCACTTTACCACGAACGTAAATGTAGTTTGTTCCGATGGAAAGTTTTGCCGAGAGCGCATTGTAAACCCACGCGTTTGGAAACGCGTTAACTTATCCAACGAAGCGGAAGCCCCGATCGGTTTGCCGATAATGGATTTTGATCCCTGTCGAACCGCGGACTCACCCAATGGATGCAATTTCCGCGATCCGCACCAAAGTCGGGGGCAAAAAAAGACAAAGTTACAGGTACACTCGAAACTCAAAAAGTCCCTTCTCGCGTCCCTCATACATTTCGAAACGCGCCACCCGTACACGTGTATGCAGTCGCAGGAAAAATTCCAATCACGTCCACTGGCGCGTAAAAGTGCGGCCCATGTGAGTAAGTGCCACACTCTGTTCTTATTTTCTCCCCAGGCGTAAATCAGCGATGGGCGGTCCGCGTCGCGCGAAACGCTGACTTATACTACTTGCCGCGCGATAACCGTGCATTAGGCAGCCCAGCCCTTGGATGGAAAAAAAAGGGGGCAACCACACCGGAGACGAGGCGGATTCGATCAAGTACAGAGTATACAGAGGTGGAGGAGGGTAAAGGAGTATTTACACGTTGCCGTTTGGGGATCAAAGTTGCAGTCCTTTTACACCCGGAGGCGCGAGAATTTCCAGACGACCATACCTAATGGCTTTTTAAATCTCGGGTTTCGGAGTAACGGGGGGTTTACTTTGGCTCGACCGAGCACGTTTAATTTGTGTACACAGCCGTGCTGGGTGAGGTTCTTACACGTATACACCTTTGTTGTGCGTGGTACCGAGGAAATTAAATGTCATTCAGGAAATTGGAGGCTCACACGACGTCGTAAGAGAGGAAAAGTACAATGGGGGGCGGGTCAAGGATACAAAGAGCAGGGGTGGAAACGTCTCCCGGTTTTGGTGGATGATTCGGTGCTTACAGAAGTCGATCGGGTGGTTTGAAAGAAAACGCTGAATTTTGAGTTTCAGGATATTGGTGGTGGGGGGGGGGGTGAAATTGTGAAATCGAAAAACGTAGCGAACCGGCCAAGCTGATGTTTGATTATACCTATGTGCGTGTCTGTATTCCGCGTCGGAGAGTTTCCGAGTGCAAGGGCGGAAAAAAATAGTTTCGGCTACGTGGCTGAATTATTAATGGTTGCTGCTGGGTATCGGCAGCGAAATTTCTGGGAAATTCGGATTTTTTCGCATGGAATGCCGGTAAAAGTAAAACTCGATGTATCAAAGCGAAGAATAAGAAAAAAATAAAAAAATGAATAAAAGCTTCTTTTGGAAAGTTTTTCCATCAACCGCGAGTTGTGTAACTTGTACTAGCACAAAAAGTTCCAGTGTGTACGTAATTATTTTCGTGTATTCTGTACGTACAAAAGCGGATGAGTTTGTTTTTTTTTTTTTTTTTTTTTTATTCGGAATGCCCAAAGTTCATTTTCATGTAGAATAATAATTTTCACACACACGGTATGGCACGTAAAAACGGAGTTTTTCCATACCAATTGAATGTAACCTATTTTTTTGTCAACCAAACTCTCTGCTTTTCGATTTCAACAATAACCTCTAATAATAATAGTGAAAAAAATGTAATACTTTTGAACCACCCCAAGTACCCAAACATCGATGTTCAACAACTTTCACCTGAATTTCTAGAACAAAACAAAAACAAAAAAAAAAAAAACAAAAAAATAGAACCGCCAAGGAAATCCAAAAGCCATGAATATCCAAGGATCCAACGGAGCTTTCGATGTCTCGCAAAAAGAAAGATCCCTGTGTATTTATCTTTGGGCTCGGCGAAAGTAAGAAATCTCCAAACTTCCTCGTAAAAGCCGGATAAAGGCGAGCTCCTCCATCAGCGAACTGTCACGCGTTTGTGCCTCTTGTTTTTGCTCCCTTTCGACTTGATTTCGGAAAATTTCTCTCGCGCAAGCCCCCCCACTACCATGATCGGATTGTTGCAACGAAGGTCGAAAGCTTCATAAATATGCCAATTCCATTAAAAAAGCCGAGCGCTGATTCATAAAAAAAAAATAAATAAATAAAAAACCACCTACCGTGTCCACAGTCCAGCGGATTTGGTCTGGTGTGTACATGCGTTGTTTACTCTCGTACAACTGCACCGTCATCGGCCAATCGATAATTCACACGTTCGCTAATTTGCCCTGCGGCGACGGTCCGTAATGGGACAGTTGAACTTGCGATATATTTGAATAATGCCGGACGGTGTGGTATATTTGTTTTTTACGATCTCTCGCAAAAATCCTCGGAATGGTGCCTTTGTCAAAGTTGAGTGAAAGTTTTGGCTTCGACCACCCCCGCCAGTAAATTTCGAAAGTTTTCGAAGATCACAAAGTTTCGATGGTTTCTGTGGTCATAAAATTTCGGTAAACTCGCAAGAAAGTTACCGATGAGCCGCTGCGATAGCGCGTACCTCCTCGCTATCATCAACATAGTTGGGCCGGCTAAAGAGTACACTTTGCTCGAGGCTTGAAACCCACTGTAAGAGCGTTCGCGAAAATTTTCATCTAATTTTCGTTAAAAGCGTGTCGTGCAAAAAATTGTCCGTAATGAGAAACATCCCCAAAAATAATTATTTTTACGTTGAAAAGGCGAATTCTTCATCGAAATAAAATTTTTAAAAAAGTACTCGCGAGAACGCGACAATTAATGACAGTGTGTATGTTCCGTATAGACAGATGCAATTAATTCATCGTGAATCCCGTACCACGTTCCAATGTTGTTTATCCGAGTATACACGCGGTGCAAAAGCGTCTCCGTCAGTTTTGCGGAGTTTGAAAAAAATCGTACGCAGCCACAATTATTTTCAACAAAAGTAGCAAATGTACGTAGAAGTACATTATAAAGTTACAAAAAATAAACCTTGTCCGTAAAAGTGTACGAGACTCGATCAGCACTGTAGATAATTACAACGAAAAAAAAGGGGGGGGGCTGAATCGATAACGTTTGATTATATTGATTGGGGCTCAGCCGATCCAATCAGCTGCTGAGCTAAAACACCAGCTGCGATAAAATATTCAGACACCAGTGAGCCTATAGCTTTCACTTTTACTTTTGCTCTTACGATTATTTATTATTGTGTAATCGTAGAGTAAAAAAAAAAAAATAAAAAATCGGTGTGAGCATTGTTTCTTTTCTTTTTTCTTTTTTATCGCTCCTCTTCTATTTTTTGAGGCTAGTACAGATCCCGCGGCTCCGAGAGATAAATCTACAGCGTAAGCCTATACGCGTGGAGAACCAATTGCCGTGTGGTATCAGCGAGACATCGATTCCAAATAAATATTATCTCGCCCAGCGTTCGTCCAACTCTTTTTTTTTTTTTTTTTTTCTTTTTCCCATTACACTTGCGATCCATCAGTTGCCTCCGCAAAAACACTCACCTGACTCTAATCCACGCGTTGAGTTATTTATTTTTCTCCTGCGCGCAAACGTTTCACCGTGACCGACTGACTTTATCTGTAGCCATCTACGCACGTAATTCACGTGTAGGACGGGAAAAAGCGGGTGCTTGCAAAAATGTACTTTGACTACGTATGTACAGGCAACGCGTCCATTTGCGTTTTTTGTTGTTATGATTATTTTTTTGCAATCGAGCTCGTCGCAACGCGAATGGATGGACTTTTCTTACCACGTGGTGCATCGACGCCATCCTCAACCTAAACAAAGACAATTTATTTAACAAAAATCCGACTTTCGCTCTCTCATCCTAACTAAATGCACATATAATTTTTCATGATGCATCGGAGAAAGAAAGAAGAAAAAAAAAAAATAGAGTCTTGCTCGAGCGCGTGATGGAAACTCAACGCGACGGGATAAGAAGACCAGTATCACCCGCGTGATATTTTCTCTCGATGCTCACCTCGACAAAAGAGACGCTTACATCTATCCAAGACACGATTTCTCGCCCCCCCCCCCCCCAAGATTCCATTATGCAACGTCTTGGGATCGAGCGTCTGCGTAAGATACATATAGTGGAAGATGCATGGGAAGTCCATTGGGATCCTTTGTCGGACACACGGTCCCAGAGCACGCCAGCCGGCATGATAACTCCAACCGCATTCACGATGCTGACGGGGTAGGAGCCTTTTTTTTTTTTTTTTTTTTTTTTTCTCTCGACTCAGTATAGGTAATTGGTTTTTGTTTTTTGTTTTTTTGTTTTTCTTCAGCAAAGGAAGATTAATGGCACAAGCGCCGACGTCATACTTTCACATTGATATTTACGGGATAAGAGCTTGGCTCGCGGGGAGTCCCCGAAATATTTCACGCCACGACGCGTACGAGCACGCGAACGACGACCCCCGAGCCTTTTTGATGAATTTCTCTCTCGGTGCCCCCACCCCCACCTACTTGCGTCCGTACATGATGAATAAATTGGATTCGGGGAGGCTTGCTACGAGATATATACGGTAAAAGTCAACAAACTCACCGCGATGTCCGAATCCGTCGAGAGCTCATTGCCTTTGACAACCGAGTAATATATATATATGTGTGTGTTCCCTTCCAAGTGTAGGCGCACCAGGGCTTTCGGGTCACCGATAGCACAAGCAGGAAAAATAATCGAGTCTCGTGGTACACGGCTTATTCTCGTCTCAAGTTGTCAAACTTTATTTTACCTTTTGCCATTCGGACAAGTCAATTGCTTCCACTACACACACACATATATATATATATATATACACTCGTGTATACGTACGTATGTAAATATATATATGGAAAATCAAACGTGTAACGAAGTAAAACGTGTCTCTCCTGGTATATAGAAAAATGAGCTTTCGCTTTGTAATCAATGAGCCGGAAAATTCCATTAGCCGCCGCACGAAACTTGATTCGGTTGATGGCCGGCATCAGCGGGTAATGAAATCGATTGCCTTGTACGTACATGGAGTAAGAAACACTCCCTATATTGTATAGTACACCAGAGCACGCAACCTCGGAGCTCACGT